GGTCTTGTATCCCATCTGTAATTTTCTCACGTTGAGCCTCATATATTTCCAATCTTTCAGCTTGTTCCACCAGCCAAGTTTGACTCAAAATCTCCTTTTTTTCAAAATTTTCCTCTTGTTGGTGCTCGCTCTCTTCATTTAATTCTTCCATACTGGCCTTCATTCTTGTGATTGTTGCCCTCATTCTTTTCATATCTTTTCTAAGTTCATCATGTTGCTCTGCTACTTGCCTCGGAATATCCCTAAAATATGCATCACGTTACATATCCTGTACTTCATTGCCCCTATCAAACTCACAAACATTATAAGAAAGATCATAATAAGAGCTCTGAGAAGGATAATAAGAATTAGGACAACCATCCCAATGGCCATCTTGACCACCACATATATGACAAATATTCCACTCAAAGGATTGAGATTGTGCGCACAACTCGCTCCCGGGAAAATTCTGACAATTTTTCCACCAGTGAGGTCCTCCACAATATGGACAAGGATCATCATAATAAGAATAACCAATAGTCGACCAATTCTCATTCCAAGAAGCCATGTCAACAAAGATAATAAAATATTAAACTAAGATAAAAATAAAAAGAAATTTAAATAGACAAAAAGTAAAAATCTAACCTAGTAGACTAGTTAATTTGTAAGTCCCCGGCAATGGCGCCAAAAACTTGTTGCTTCCAAACGCACACGCAGTATACGCGGTCGTCAAGTAATAAAGTGACTAAAAGTCGGATGTCGATCCCACGAGGACTTGTAATTAACTATTAACTAAATTAGACTATCCTAATTATCTATACAAGAATTAAAACTAGAAACATTTGGTTCTAAACTAATTAAAATGAATAAAAACAAATAATGAACTTTGGACAGAGAAAGAGCAGATTTTTTATGATATCAATGTAATGAAAACGATCTAGGGTTATGGGCTATCTAACATTCCTATTGTATTCTTCAATTGAATTGACTAACTAATTTATCTAGTTTATTGGTTGACAGAGTTAATATTGCTCATAAGAATCTGTCGAGTTCTTACTCGCCTATTCAAGCTAACCTAATACCTATATGTCTATGGAGTTAGAATCAACAAGAACGCATTTATAATTCCTGTATTTCAACCAAGCAAGGCAATTAGGTATATGTCTATCCTAATTGTGAATCCGTTCCCCCATGCCCAGGTTCAAGAACTTGCTCTACTCAATCCTATATGCAATCTAGAATTCCCACTTTCGAGTTCAACTCTAGATTCGTAGATAGTATTCAATTGGTGATCAAGCAATCAAATAATTAAGTGCAAGATTGAATAAATAAACCAATATGATAAACTAAGAAATCAAAATCAATATCCGAATAACAATAGTCATGAAAGAACCACAACCCTAGAATGTGAAGTTTAGCTCCACATAGACATGGTAGAAAACAACAAATCATACAAAGAAACATAAAAAGACTAAGTTGGTGGAAGAAAAGATGAAACTCGGCCTCCACGGCGGCTCTGTGCTTGTGTTTTCCTCTCAAAAACATCATCTTCCCTCAAAATACCGTTTTTCCACGTATATATACCAAGTAGGGTTGGGCCTAAACAATTATACCTTCTCCAATGTGAAAAAGGACATTTTTCCCGGGTGACTAGCGCGAGCTCGCGCATCCTTCGCGCATGACTTCGCGCATATTCCTTGACATTCTGCCTCCAGCTCCTTAACTAGCGCGACTTCGCGCTAACTTCGCGCTAGAGTTCGCGCATTTTTTACCCTGTTCCGTTTCGTATTTGAAAAAACGTAAAACATGAAAGTTGTAGCCCTTTGAGTTAGCTTTCCAACCATATATTGTGGAGCTAAAATGGAGTTCTGAACAAAAAGTTATATCTATTTTACTAGACAGTGCGCAATATGCCTACTGGAGTCTTCGTTCGCTCTAAGTATCATCCGTTGACCCCCAAACACGATCCCGGCTTAATTCCTTGAACTTTTACTCAAACTTTAAAGCTCCAAATCACTTGAATTCATTCCATAACATCTATATAGCTCGGAATCACTCCTACAAGGCATAGAACACACAGTTAGTGCAAGACACTAGCGATTAAAGCTCAAACTCAACTAGGCATAAATATAATACAATTTAGGATTAAAACATCAAAATGTAAAGTAAGTAATGCACTAAAAATATGGAATTATAGCCAAACATCAATCTGCCCCCGTAAACTCTAAGCACTTCAAATTTTCGCTAATATTCTTTATGGTCAAAAGGCATTCAAAATTAAATGAACAATAGCCTTACAAACCATGGTATATCAATATACTGCCAGCACATAGTTCATAGATTAACCAATAACTATATATTCGTAAACCAAAATCAAAGAGTAATCTGCCGATTAAAGTTCGGTTTCATATTACGAACTCGTTGATACGGAAACATGATAAATTACATTTATAATTATCATGAACAATACTGAACAACACAGCTAAAGGTGGGCTCTGATACCAATGTTGATATTTAAACACATACACAGAGCCTACGCAGCGGAATATTAACAAGAACGTACCTTCAGCCATAGTTGTTCAAGTGTTGTAGGGAATCACCTTCGTAAAACGTTGGCAGAAAACCTAGGAGCCTTCTAGCATCTGCCTATCGTAGGAGGCCAGACTGATAGAGTCACATGCGCATTTACAGGCAGGCTAGGGACTCTTAGGCAAATACTTTATCCCTAGGGACTTCTCCATAAATTATAATTAACTTAGGAACTCCTAATATATGTTAATTTCTTTCCATCAAAGAAACTACCATGTATGTATAACTACAGAATATTATCTCATATATTATTTCTTTTGAAAGATAAGGTAAATAATTTAGTATATGTGAGTCACACTAAAGTCTCCAGAAGAGACGGTAATTTCTAACACCCTCTACATTCTGTTTTTATGCTACAGCCTAGCTACATGCTTTATTCTATCATTTTTATTTCTTTCATTGACGTTTCTCCACTTTTATGTTGCCCTAACTTTCCATCTCTGCTCCAAACAAGGTTCCACTACGTGCCACCTCAATTTTAGCTTATTTTGTTTCATTGTTCAGTACATCGTTCACTCCGTGTTCAATTTGTACTCACTTACCTAATGAATGTATTCTACCACCGAAAGGGTTTCTTGTACTTCTCTTAATTCAAGTTAATATATTACTCCCGGGGTTCACTTTATTTGATTTTTTGGTCTTCTTTTTATGGTTCATAATATTTGATTTTTTTTTAGATATCAAGAAGGATCAGCTTATTTTTTTCAAAATTGCCCTTGGAGTAAAAAGCTTAAGAATATCTACTATATTTCCAATGAACAAATTCAAGAGATAGTAACGGTTAATATGGTCAATTTTATTGTTAATTAATATTAAAAAGTGAATTCCTTAATATATGTGAAAATAATTAAAAACTCAATTAAAGTAGATCAGAGGGAGTAGTATTATTTATAATTGTTGCTTAAAGACTTCTTTCTAGCACTGTTCAATTGGTCATACCGTTTATTACAAGAAATTATATCAAATGACCTTGAAAATAGATGATCTTAATCTTTTGAACTCTGCTTGCCCCATTGGTAAATCATTAAGATCAAAAGTCAAAAATGTTGTTTATTGGGCAAGGGAGAGGCAACACTCGTTAGACTTGAAATTTTGCCCATGGATACTGGCAGTCTGGCCCGTTTACTTAAACCTTTTACTTCAGGTTTCGTCTTGAAGTAATAGAGAACATGATGACATTTGACAAAACAAAATATTCTGGCCTCTACACACACGAGTAGCAGTGCTATGATAGTATCCTAGGAAGCTCAACTCTATTCAAGGACAAGGATGAAGTTTTGGAATCTCAGAGCCTTTAACAAGATGTCAAGCTAAAGAGTTGCAAAACAAGGTCATTAGACTTCAAGTGCAAATAAAGAAATTGTTAACTGGGAGGAAGAAGAGCTCAAGGATAAAGGTTGTGAATTAGCTAGGTGTTACAGTTATTTTATGGCTCAAATTTATGTCCAAGAAGAGGAGTATTGGATCCCAAGAGACATCCATTGAAGAAGGTCCTAATCAGTCCACTTTGGACCAATTTGACACCTAAAATGAGTCCAAATTTCCAGCCCATGAAGTCCTACTAAAGCCACGTTTTTATAACATAAAATGGACTTACTTGATGTCCAAGAAAGGTACAATAGTCGTGCTAGATGTTGAGTGCAAGTTGGTGCCAAGTTGCTTGCAAATTTCCTTCAAGATTTTCAAGATTATATCCAAGATTGGTTTGAGACTTATTTCCATATATTTTGGTACTATATTTATTGCTTTCCTAGTTAGTTAAGGTTATGTTTTCCTTACTAAGATTTTTGGAATTACTTTCCAAGAATGACTTGGTTTTTGCTTCCTAGTATTTTCCTTTTCCTAAGGTAGTTGGACTTGTTGTCAAAGTAGTTTAGGACATTATTTCCTTATTTTTTTAGGCTTAATTTCGTGACCCTTACTACCTATATAAGGGGTGTCTTCTTTGTTTTTAGACTTAGATTATTCAGATTATTATCAATAAAAATTATGAGATTTTTCTTGCACTATTGTGTGTGGCTACTCTTGGATTTATTCTTCAACCTTCAAGACTCAATTTAAGGTGGTAAGATAAATTCTTCGAAATCTTATATCACTTCTAGATATTCAAGAAAGGTGATAAGTTTAGGCTTATTGCTTTTCTTGTTATTCTAAAGGGTCGGGTTTCACAATCTATCTCTTGTTTTTTATTTTCTACCAAAGGCGATTAGTTCTTTGTTAGCTACTTGTTGTTGTTAGGATTCAACTTCAAGAATAGACTTCTTGAATTCAATCTATCTTTAATTTTCGTCCTTTTTCGTTTCTTTATTTTCTTTTAGCTTCCGCATGTTTCTTGATTTTCTTGTTTTTCTTTAGTAATTCTTGAATCCCCCTATCGTGTTGTTATCACACTAGACATGCTTGTCAAAATTTAAAAGAAAAAATGCAGAGTACGAGATTCAATAATGAATTGTATAAATGGTCAAAGCATTTCATTTTCTTTTGATTGTTGTTGAAGCTCCTCCTTTGGAAGTCATTACAGAAAACCTACTTCTAAACTCCAAGGTCTGCAGGAAAAAAAAAATCCCTGGACGATAAAACTATGTTCCTCTCAAGGTGTAACATATTGACAACAAGACGGAGTACCCACTGGCTCCAACTCGCTTTTCGCCTGCAAGCTATCTACAGAGCACGTGTATAAAGGTCTCCATTGTATTCACAAATCCAGCTTCTCATGGAAAGCGACACCAAAAGTATGTCTTGCTACTTCCATCTCAAAATCAGTTGAGGTTTCGTAATTGCACCAGGTTTTGGCAATGAGTTACATTTGCAATAGTGCTAACATCAATACATCGAGCAGGGTGTGAATTAACTGGGGACAGGGCCATAGGAGTTGAACTAGCGAAATGATGGGGCTCCATTAGAATCGATGACGCACAGCTGGCCTATCCCAATTGCACATATAGATTAAGTGTCCAGGCATGAAGAAATGCCCATATCAAGGATGTCTTAGCCTAAGTATTCCACCATTTGGAATCTAATTTTCACTTCATTGACAGTTCTTTCGAGAGCTACCTCTCTAGAGATAAACGCCCTTGGTCAAGATTGTATGTTGTCTGCTCTTTTTGAGAATTCAACTTTTCCTGTTAAAGTTATATTATTGCATTAAAGATCATACGCACACACCACAAAAGACAAAAAGGAGGAAGAAGAGCTGGAGAGGAGAGGAGAGGAACTGAACGTACTTACTTTGATTCGTACCCCACCAACTGGTTTGAGGAAAGAAGGAACATCTGGCTGATGAGAGATTCTCATAAATCGATGTTCTAATAACATGCTGGCCGAGGGCCTCTCCGCTGGGTTCCTACAGAAACACCAGCGCAGGAAATCTTTTCCTTCAGGTGATAATGTTTCCGGTATCGGAGGCGTATCTTTTAGAACCTTGAACATGGCTGCAGCCTGCAAAATGGATATGGTTAACGTGGTGCAGCTCTGTATAGTCAGTCTGACACGTTGATTACAATATAAGCCTGCAAAATAGGAGATAAACTAGCATTCGACTTATTCAAGTTCAAGTGTAGTGACACCAATGAATTGGGAAACTGTATGGACCCATTTACTACGAACCAAATGAACTCTCAAGTGCAGTGAAAGTGTGAAACTGAGCAAGCTCCTCGACATGATGCAAAATATAGTAGCATCAGTCTTATTTACTGAAATTACACCTACAAGAAAACCTCCACCTCACTCAAAGAGATAGGGTTGCCAGAAAAGTATTCATAAAAGGGGACAGACTTCTTGAAGACCCCGTGAACCTACGGGAGCATGCAACAGAAACGCATTACTGTCAAGTAAGATACATGCGAGCTAAGCATGAGAAAACCAAAAGATTATGTGCGAGCAAAGCATGAGCGAATCAAAGTCCTTACTGCTTCATATTCACTCCAAGGTGGTTTGCCATTCAGCATTTCAATTACTGTACAACCCAAACTCCATATGTCAGTAGCAAAGGCGAGATCACTGTTAGTATCCTTCTGCATAACTGACTGCAAGAGCTGCCAGGCAACAAAAGGTATAAGCATGAGAGGTAAGAGAACATAATTAGACAGAACTGATGTTTCTAACAAAGTACCTCAGGAGCCATCCAGTAAGGACTTCCCTTCAAGGAGAGATTAGCTGCTTGCCCGTTAAGCTGCATAGAAAGAGTAAAGGTTCAGGATCAAATATAAAACTAGCAAAAGTCGGCTCAACAACACAGTCAGTGTAAGTTATAAAGATTAAAAAAACTGCAAGTTTTATTTTATTTTATTTTTGATAAGGTAAAAGTTAATTAAAAAAAATGATTGTGTTGACTTCCATTGTTATATAGTTGTCATTCCAAACATTATTTTTCCTACTGGGCGTTGTTATTTCTAGTCATTGAGTATAGTCAAAGTGATTGGTTATGTTACATCTACTGGCTTCCAGGAATAGGGAATCTCTCCTAATGAAGTGTTTACTTCTATTATTGCAACAAAATGAGTATACTCCATATTTTGAGTTGAGAACTTACATGCTTAGCCATCCCAAAATCTGCAAGCTTCACAACCCCATAAGCATCAACAAGCAAATTTGCCCCTTTTATGTCCCTATACATGTAAAAAATCCAATTTGTTCTTCAGAAGGTTCTATATAGTCCTCATCATAAGTGAAATCTCAGACTGTTACCTGTGAATGGTTTTTTTGCTATGCAAGTAAGCCAATCCACAAAGAATATGGCGAGTGAAATTCCGTACTATGGATTCTGTAATTGCTCCACAATGGTCATGGATGAATTTATTGATAGAACCAGGATGAACGTATTCCAGATAAATGTAAAATCGGTCACCAACCTGCACAATCATAGTAAAGACTCTCAATGAGGACAACATGCTCAGATAAGTATATAACTTAATTGGAGAATAACAATTACTTACTATTTCGCTGCCGTAATACTGGACAATATTTGGGTGCTTGAGTTGACTGAGAACATTAATTTCCTATACCAACATAAAAATTGGAGAAAATCAGAAGTTGAAACAATTTTACAAAAGAGATGTTTTCATGTGCTCATGATAGTGGCTTGGCAACTGCTAATCGAAATGTATTCACATTCAAGTATTCATACCCAATGTGCTTGCTAATACTGCTTTAAACGGTCAAAATGGTCCAGTTCATCAGTAAGAGATGCAAAATATTTTATACTCGGAAAGACAATAATAAATAAAGTCAAGCCAAATAATTATCTATCTACTAAGATCCACGAAGAGAAATAACTCAGTTAAGATGTTAGGCAACTAGCATCCTAGGAAAGCCTACCGAGATTTCTTCCACTTAGTAGCTTGGACTCCAAATAAAAATACAAAAGAAAACAGCTTAAAGCTCATAAGAACATCACAGAGGAAAGGTATGGCCAGTACTTTTTATTTTAACATACAGGAATTCCTTTAACTTTCTCCCCTAAGCCTTTTGGTTCCTTAGCTGGTTGCTTTGGTAATTGTGCAGCACCTATCCTAGATAAGTGTTAAGGTTGAACACACAATATAAATTTTTATTTTCTTAAAACAGAAAGAGAACATGTATTACTTGTTTCAGTCATGTCACTAACTCATAAATCAACAACAACAACCCAGTAAAATCCCACTAGTGGGGTCTGGGTGTCACTAACTCATAAATGTGTAGAGAAATCTGCAGATAAGATGCTCCACTTTAAATATTTGGATCAGTGCAACAGATTGAGAAAAAAGATTAACGTTGTGACTATGAACAATCAAAATCAAGACACGGAGTATAAGTATTAAAGGACTACGAAGCGAAGAGAATGAAGGAAATATAACCTGCTGTAACTGCCTTATGCTCTCAGCAGATTTCGGGTCATCCGGTAATAATTCAACTTCTTTCATCGCACATAAAGCTCCAGTCTCTCTGGTTAAGGGAAAAAAAACATCGGGGTACATTAGACACTAAACTGTGTATGCACGAGAAGAAACATATTCCTATGCAATGAGATCTATTCAGAAATTATACCTGTTTGATGCAACATATACACTTCCAAATGTCCCACGCCCAATAAGCTTCCCTTTTTGCCATTGGCCTTTGATTGGCGTCAGCTCTGCGTTAGGGGAAACTGGTGGAATTGCCGTAGGCTGCTGTGATGGAGTGGCACCTAAAGGAGGAAGTGGTAGTGGATGGACATTACCCTGAGCACTACACTCACGGCGTGCTGCTGAGCTCTCGTTTGGTAATAAGTTATGCAAAGGCGATGTTGATCCACTTGCGATCTTTCTATACCTCTGAGGACTTGTTCTTGGACTCTGATGAGGAGAATTATCAACACTAAAAGCATTTTTCTCCGGAATAACTTTGTAAGAGAAACCTGGATAATGAGGGGTGTCTGATGGAGGCATCTCTGGGGCAGAACAAACTTGAAAAGCACCAGGGAATGCCATGCAATTGGGACTTAAAAAATCCTCAGCTTTGAGCGGGCTGAGTCCAGGACTTGCATAAGGAGTGGTAGGAGCACTAATGGGCGCGCTGATCCTGATATCAGAGACTCTATCAGTAACATGCAGCTTCTGAGGTGTCTTCTTAGACAATCGACTTCCCAAGTGCTCCTTTATCTTCTTTCGAGCATCTTGGCTTGATAATCTGCTGAAACAGGATAACAGAAGAACACAAATACAGCGTCAATATAATCCAAAACTTACACGAATTAGCCAACTGAATGACCAATTCATGCTAAGAGAAAGCAGAATGTCCTTCTTCTTTTTTTTTTTCTCTTATTTTGCAAATGTCTGAAAAGAGAGAAGAAGTCAACAGTGGCCCATTTTGCTGAATGCTGACCCGAACCCCCAATCTAATCATTCAAGGTCAGAGTATCCTTTCAACTAGGCTACGTTTCAGTGTCGAATCTATTAACTTCAATTCTTTCATCTCCAGCATTGGTTTCTTTTTCCTCTTTTTTGGAGGAGTTAAGATTTATCCATATCACTAGACCATCCTCTCTAATTCAAGAGTTAATAACCATGAATTTCCAGCTCTCTCCTTGAAATGAGGAACCCTAATTTTATAATGAAAACGAAACACTCCGTATCAACGTAACCTAAGTATTTTTCAAAAAAGAAACACAAACATCCAATTCCGGATTCACAATTAAAAACAAAATAAATAGGAATATAATGAGACAAGTAATAATCTAATCCTATGTGAAATTAAAGTAAAAACTAAAAAAAAAAAAGAATGTTGAGAAAAAAGATTGTATACCTCCCATGGGCTACACCATCCTTATGTGTATCCTTATCTCTTTCCTCTCCAGTTTTATGATGCGAATTATGCGCGTCTGTGGGGGACGGCAACGGAACGCTGGGTTCATTCGAAACCGCAGCGTCGGCGTCGTGGCGGAGCAACAGCTGGAGTTCCGGCAAAGGCAAAGGTTGCGGAGGCGGACGACGGTCGGAGGAGGAAGAACATTTGGACGACGACAAATTCTCGTTTTCTGAATAGTGCGAACGCCAGTCATCGACGTCATTCTCCGCGAGGTTCTGGAGTTTTTTTGCACGTGCGTGACGGCGTCTGCGGGCGAAGAAAAAAGCGGATTTTAATGTGTAACGAATGCCTCCTCCACCGGAGGAGGTAATAAGGCTATCGTCAGAGTGTACTTTGGATGATAAAGAGGATGAAGAGGAGGGTGATGATGAGGATGTTGAAGATGAAAACGCGTTCTGCCACCAACGCATTGCCTGTTTTAGTTGTTATGAAAAATATTACACAATGCATGGGTACGCGCGCCTAAATTAGGAAATGATAATACTGTACAAAACCTGGGCTCAGGAGCATGGTTAAAAAAAGCGGGGAAAACTCGCCGGCGTCGTGTTCGTCGGCGTCGGTGGGTTCCCGCAAAAAGTTTCTAAAAGGAGGAGGGAAGGGAGAGTTTTAAGGAAAAATGATACAAGAAGAAAACTATCTCCATCCTGAGGTCAAAATATAATACCCTCCTCTTCCCTTTCTATTCTTTCTTCTTCTTCCTCCTTTTATTCTTCTTTCTAGTACATTTCTGTTTTTCCAACTTTAATTAAAAAAATAGAAGACGTTTATTTTATTACAACAATACTACATGCCATTTTTTAATATTCTTTTGACGGTGACAGGACCAACACATTGGACCCACCTCTTTTCATGTCTTTGAATCTTTGAATGATTCGAGTCTTTTCCTTTTTCTTTGTACATTTACTTGTGTCCATTTCATGTTGTTGCATTTTAGTAAATACAAAATTAAAGATACTAATTAAAGGGTTTAGGTCGTCCTAAACCCTTGAATAAATTTATTGGGGTAGATCAATTTTAGCTCTCTGTAATTATGAAAATTGAAAATACGACCTATCTCAGAATTTGTTATAATGTGGAAACAGCACGGCTCACTATTGGAAAAGAGAAAAATAGAAAAACATGCACAATAAAAGCTGCAAATTAAGGATTTCAATAGCTCGAAAGCAACGAATTTCTTAGTTTTTGCTAAGCCAGGTTGCTCTTATGGAAGTTTCTTTCTTTTTTTATCTGGAAAGATAGTCCGTTAGAAATTATAATGTGCGACTAGTTTTTCATTACTACCCTCAACCCGGTTTATTTATTCTTAGTTTTAAGATAACAGATCTTCCGAGTCAATTACTCAAATGATCACTCAACTATCCCAAATTATCTCCTAAAGTCACTTTTCTTTCGTTTGTAACAACAAAGTCACTGAGCTATGCCTATTGCACTCAAAAGGTCACTCAACTAGATTTTCCAAATTTTGGATTTCCAAATACCTATTTTACTCTCTAAATTATAAACGTTTATCTTCTTCTTCTTTTTTGAACTTTTCAGTATATTAACAACAAAAGTTCAAAAATTTATTTACCAGAATGAAAGAAAATAAAGGTTGTAAAATATATATTCCATGCACGTAATATAAAAATAATTATTTAAATAAAGATATTTTTATAATACATTATATAGTCTTGAAAATTATGCTCAATTATATTATTATGTTTCTACCAACTTTCCGACGACACAAAGTTATATCACCGTAAAGTAGGGGGACTATCTGTATAGGGTAAAATATGTTATGTTAAGTCGTGCATGGAATATATATATATATATATATATATATATATATATATATATAATTGAGCATAATTTTAATATATAATGTATATTATAAAAAATACCATTATTTAAATAATTATTTTTATATTACGTGCATGAAATATATATTTTACAATCTTTATTTTCTTTCATTCTGAATTATGTAAATAAATTTTTGAATTTTGTTGTTAATATTAAAATTATTATTACTAATATTCTAATTAATTTTTTTTTACTATGCTCATTATTTTATTATTCTAGCATTATATATGCTTAAATACTTTTTATTTTTTAATTTATAAATAATTTATTTATTCTATAAGTAAGTCCATAATGTAAATTAAGAAGGAAATCATAATATTAAAAAGTTTATAAGAAAAATAAAAAGAAGATAAATGTTTATAGTTTAGAGGGTAAAATAGGTATTTGGTAATTCAAAATTTGGAAAATCTAGTTGAGTGACCTTCTGAGTGCAATAAGCATAGTTCAATGACTTTATTGTTACAAAAAAAAAAGTGATTTTAAAATATAATTTGGGATAGTTAAGTGACCATTTGAGTAATGAACTCCAGATCTTTCGTATATTAATTGTGCACACCCCATGGGGCTTGGAAAGGACTAGAGAAATTGTGAATGTCACAAAATTAAGAGGAGATGAACAACCAAAAAAGGAAAAGGAAATAACGTGTTTTTCATTTGTCCTCTTAAAGTACAGAACGTGTTTTTCATTTATACTTATCAAGCATTTCAGGAAATTGCAAAATCGGAAAGGGACAAGATTTGTACGGAGCAAGGACTTGGAGTAGACAAAAATTTAATATGAAAGTCAGCACAAACAAAAACATGCCAGCGATATAGCCGGCTTCTGCACTCCAGCTAGGCTGTCTTTTTATATTGATTTGTGAACAAGTTATACTTAAGAGGCGGACTCAATATTTAAAAATGGAGTTTTAACTGGCATTAATGTCAAATTTTTTTTTCTTTTTGGTGAATGTTGAAGTGGGAATCAAATGTCAATCCGTTCACCCAAATCAACCATTCCAGCTGTCAAATCTTTGTAGTTCATGGTGTCAATTTAAATATATACCTAAAATACACCCAAAATAAATACGCACATTTCTCCTGATGTTATCGAGGGCCGGTGACCTCCCTTGGAGTGAGTTCGCCTCTAGTTATATTGAAATTATAATATGGGATTTTACATGAGTTAAATATTGAAGAGATTATTTAGTGAATATATAGTTTTATTAATAGATGTTTAATCCTTTTGGACTAAAAATAAAATATACGGTGTATAACGTAAAATAAAAATTTGCTTTAAACTAGATGAATGTAAATATTTTATGTTCATTTTTAACCTTGACTTAAGAAAGACTTTGGAAGAAAATTATGTGGAAAAGGGCAATTTATCTTGTTGTTTTATCTTGGGACTAGTAGTCATAGAATTGTTAGACTACTTAAAACATGGTACCAACTACCAAATAACACCATAATTGTGAAATAAACAATCCCCGAATGATAATTCTAGAACAAAATTCTACCAAACTAGATAAAATAATTTCACATTTTGTCTTGAAATTATAATCCCTTATCCTTGTAACCACGACCCCTTAGTTCAGCCGTCATCTCCCTGTCTTCATCGTGCTTGACCCGTTCATTCTATGCATCAAAACTGATTAATTGCCAGGTCTTCCGGTGGTTAGATGAAAGGATATATTTTTTTTAGTTGGGGAAATTCATGTTTAGAATAAGTCATATAAGACTATCAAATTTCAAAATAGTACCCTCTAACAATATCCTGGAGGGCGATTCCTGCGTAAAAACAAATGAACTCATGACGCACACCACCGGTGACTAAAGTTCTATCAATGTGTGATTCCCTTCGCAGTGGACTTGAAATTATTTGATGCCATAAACTTAAAAAGACTGCAGTTCCAGTTGCCATTTACTCATTAACGCACAGTTCATTATTCTAGAACAAGTCCCCCTAAAAACACAATTTACTGCACTATAGCAAAAGCTTCAAATTTCATTTGACCATGCACCTTATACAGTACTCAACCTACAAAGCTTGGTCAAATTAGAACAAACCTTGTTGTAACTAGTGGACTTCAAATGCCTCTTGCAGTAGTTGCACAATAGCTTCGACAAAATTAGCTATCAATTGAAGTTGCCTTAATCTTACAAACAGGGATCGCCTCATTCTTGCTTAAGAGCTTCCACGTCGGATGAAGATCGATATCATGCAGGGACACTTTGTCTTCAACATCTAGCTGACTTACATCGACCTCAATTTTTTGAGGTATATGCTCAGCTGGGCACAAGAACCTTAGAGTAGGTCTTATCTTGTTTAAAGAGCCACCTGCTTTCACATTAAAAGCTAATAATCATCTTCACTGAAATTGCAATAATCATCTGCATGCCAGATTATCTCATGGAGTAATAAATTGCAAAAGGCAGCACAGCACTGTTTCAAAGCATATTAAAGAGCAACAGTAATCTAGTCCAAGACAATCTATGCATTAAAGTTCTCTATTAACATTTGACAAAATAACCAAAATAGCGCGTCCAAGAAACTACGAAAATGATGGTACCATAATATTTCGAACAAAGAATTGCCATTAGTTTCCACTTTCCAATGTCAAGACAACTAGTATTTAACTTAAGAAGGCAGTTACTTCACAGAATTTGGACAGAAAAGTTAATCTCATTAAACAAGATAACCCTTTCACATGCTGTTATTGAGAAGGCATGTTTTCTGAAGCGTATACAAAACGGCTTTGGTAACCTATCTAGGTGGCTTTGGTAACCTATCTAGGTTTAAACCAAATTGAACTTATCATGGGTTTCCATTAGAGAAAGTTCAGGCTTTGCAGTATCTTAAGTGAACTACTAGGAAAATTCTCGTTCACATATTTAGGAGTTCCTCTTATTATGTTCTAAGGATACAAAGATAGGAGCTCACTAACGCCAGAACAGGAGTTTGGAATTAGACAAATACAGTAAAGTGTTATACTTGTTTTCTTTATAAGAATGTTATACTTGTTTTCTTTATAAGAGTATTAAACTTGTAGAGACCATCTGCTTCCTTCGATATTTAAGTTCAATGTTTTAAGCTGTTTGCTAAATGCAGTTAATATCTCAATGGATTAAATGAAATACTCCCCTCGATACCCTTCAAGACAGCATATATGCCATGAGGTTGCAGAGTAATTAAATTCCTCAGTTTACCTAAGTATGCTCTTCCACGGTAATATAACCTCATAAGGTTATTAACAAAGAAAACAGTAAAAGTCCTCTCTTTCAAATGATCTTCCTTGGTCAGAAAAGGAAATAGGAGTTCTTGGATATTTGGACATGCTGGCTTTGCAGGTTCAAATCAGCCCATAGGTGTTTTCTGATAATAATTGGCAATACTTTAGCAAACTACCGCATATATACAGAAGCTCATATTTATAGTTACAAACTCAAAATGTTACAATATGTCACTCTTGTTCCATAATAATCATTGTTCGACACTTTAAATTACGACTAATTTGAGATTGAGGTGTAATTAATTAGTTGGTTTCACAGAAATTGCAAACAACTACATATATAAAAAATAGTGTTCTGAGAGAATTCAAACAAGCATGCTTCACCATTTTTCTTTTTCATCATTCTATCGCAATGACACACTAGAGTATGTCAAAAAACAGTTTCTGAAATGAGATAGGTCCTACTAATTACAAATGATTAACCTTTCTCAGAACAATAGGCTTGTCCATAAGCAAAGTGAAAAGGAATTATGGAGAAAATAAAACATGGAGATACAAGGAGAAGAAAAAGACTAAACCTTTCTTGAGACCAGGGCACTCTTCCTCCCCTTTGAATACAACAGGCACGTCTACCTTTAATTTTGTTCCGTATTCCGCCCATACGAAGACCAAATTCAGTATCTTCCCAGTTTCTTCATCCCTATGAATCTATGTAAATAATGAAAGAAACCATGAGTTAAAACTACCACCAACTACTATCCCTACGACAATCCATTTGCAACACTGCCAAATGATTGACATAACTCTAAAACAATTTCCTAATTCAAATTCATTAATCTATTAAAATGTAACCTTTAAAGTACTTTTTTCTATCAAACTAATTCTTCAACCATTCTGGAGTACATTTTTTTCTTTATCACTAGTAAAAGTACAAGTCAAATCAATATCTTAAACTCCATACAAAGCCAAACGCAGTCATATTAACTAGAACAAAGGGAGTAGCCGACTAGCACATTAACGAATGTACTGAATGAACACGAACAAGCATCACTTGCCTTAATGGGAAGCACATTTCCGGATTCAAGTAAAGTTGACGAACCCGAACCGGCCCGGATCTGAAGGGGAAAGGTCGTAGAATAGAAGAAAGGGAGATCAACCGACTTAAGGATCGTTTTTATTTGCTTCTTTTCAGTTGTAAGGAGGAACTTTCTAGAAACAGAACTTGCGGCCACAATAGAAGTAGGATCGTTAGGTTTTGATTGGACGTAGTTCTGTGAGAATACGACGGCCGGAATACGACCTTGGGCTCGATCCCTGCTGGAAACTCTGTTTCCGGTGACCTCTCTAGGAATGGCTTGGATTGTGAAGTAAGATCTCCGGTTTGTTTCCTCCGCCACCCTCCGAGTTCTGGCGGTGGTTGCCACCGCGCGCCACCATTTCGACATGATCTTCCTGTGAAAGCGTCTATGGGGAAATGGGTAGCTTCAATTTGGAAAATCCGGGTTTAGGGTTCTGTTGCATTGCCATTTGGAGGGTTTAAGCGTTCTGGGCTTTTTGATGGGCTTCTTATTGAGTGTATGTCCATTTTCACAGACCCTTAAGATGGACTATGGCTTCGGCTTGGGCCTTAGGATAATAAGGAAAGGGAGTTTCCTACATATACTATGATTAGGAGTGGTAAACGGGCGGGTCGGGTCAGATATGGTTTGATTGAAAACGGATAATGAAAAAATGGATCAATTATCCGACCCGACCCATATTTAATACGGATAAAAAACGAGTTAACCGGCGGATAATATGGGTTACCCATATTATCCATGACTTCATGTATATGATCACTTTTGGGAGAATTCTTAGTCTTTCTAACTTGAAGAACCCCCAATTTGAGGCTTTACAAATGTAAAAATTAGACCCATTGGTTATCCATTAGTTACTCATTGGTTATCCATTTTCTAAATGGATAATATGGTTCTTATCCATATTTGACCCGTTTTTAAAAAGTTCATTATCCAACCCATTTTTTAGTGGATAATATGGGTGGTTAACTGTTTTATTTGTACCATTTTGCCACCCCTAACTATGATAGGAACTTGTTAATTTATTTTCTCTAGGTTTTGTAGTTTTCAAAAAGTATCTAGGTTTTTCTTACAAATTGTATACATTCCTCCCTTAAAAATCTCTCATCCCATTATTAATGCCTTTAATTAAGGGATTCAATTATATCCTTTCCTCTTTTTTTCACATTTTTCCTCATTTCATGCTTCCTAATTTTTTCAATACGCAGAGATCCTCTTCTCTCTCTCTTCAATAGTTGCACGTCTTCAGCAAGAAGCTACTAACCTTGCTTCAGTTGTTTAATAGGATAATAGCTCATAACTTACAATTGCTCATCAGCATATACAATTATCATACATTTGCGATATAATTTTTGCAACAATTATAATACAAATACAATTATGATACAATCGTGATACAATTCTGATTTTCCTCATCTTCTTCATCTTCTTCAAGTTTCAATCACAACTCTAAACATAAATTCTGAAACAATATTGTATTATAATTGTATTAGGTATTATTTTAGGTATTGATATATCAGATACAAATCAAATACAACTTTGTTACAATTGTGATACAATTATGAAACAAATATGATGTAATTATAATACAATGGTGATACAATTCCGAAACTTTTCTTCTTCGAGTTTCAATATGAAATTTTACCTAAAAACAACTCTAAACTTAACTAATCTCCCTCAAAATTGAGATATAAACTGCAAGTTATATTCTCAATCGTTCGCAAGAGCACGATTTTGGAGTGGATCTCTTACGTGAAGGGATTTGGTAATTGCAAACAAAGGTGATGATTTTGGGGTGGGTCTCTTACGGTGAAGGGATTTGGTAATTGCAAAGAGGGGTAGTGGGTTTCTTACGGTGAAGGGATTTTGGATAAGTATTGATTTTGGGTATCTTAAATGTAGGATATTTTATGTAACTGATACCCACTATTTAAGGTATATTTCTTTTCCTTTTTTTTAAGGTTTTGTATAAAACTAGTAAATATAGGTATATAAAGTAATTAATAAGGAACCTAAATAAAAGTAGTAAATAGGTTTCTATTATAGTATGGGAATTTTTACATTCCTATCCCATATATGAAAAAATCGGGAGAAATTCAAAAATAGCCACTGTCACACCTCCTTTTATAGTACAATATAATAAAGGGAGTTATTTCCAACTTGAAGTGACAATCGGAACGGGATTTATTATTAAATTTTTAGAGTCGCCACTTAGGAAATTAGTGGTGTCCCAAGTCACCGGTTAGATCCCGACCCGAGGAGATTATGACTCTGTTATCAGTCCGCGAGCCAGAAATCCAGGTAAGGAATTCTGTTAACCCGGGAGAAGGTGTTAGGCATTCCCGGGTTCCGTGGTTCTAGCACGGTCGCTCAACTGTTGTATTTGATTTTATCTGATTTCAAAACATGTTATGTCCCATGTGCTTTTACTAGTAAACCGCGTTCATTTTTATTTTTAAGAATTGCAACGCTGTGAAAATGCATCTCGAACCACGTCGCACCAGTGCACCCGTGATTGTTAACACACTTTGACTACGTTGAGATTTGGATTTGGGTCACATAAATGTGCACCCGAATTCAGGAAAGTGATATTATTAAAGTACGCACCTAAAGCCACTACACGTTTTATTGTTTTTGGGGAAGGTCGTGAAAGTCGCTAGACGACCTATCCCGGAGTCTAAACATTTAACTTAAGCACTTGTCAAGGGACCGGCGATCTATTTGCTTAGTGACCTTGAGAAATTTGAGAAATACTATTAAGTATTCTACTAATAAGAGAAGGCCCCAATCAATTAGTATGTCCGTGTATTATTACCAAGATACTCACATGGATGTTGAACAAAGTACCCAAGGAAACGTTTGAATTTGTGGGCCTTAAAGCAGGCCCTTACGAGAAATCAGGCCTTGAACAAACCTTAAATGTTCAATAAATAGTTGCTGTCCAGGCATGGGCCTTGTAGTAAGCCCAATAAGGAGATATTACTGATTGCTAAATCAGCCTAGCCTGGAGACAAGCCCGACTTAGTATCCTTGTCATAGTTGGGCTGTTGGTTTGGCCCAAACTTGGGCACAAAGACACTACTTTAAACCTGGGCCTGTGTCAAAGCTCAAATTGTGAAAAAACTCGGCCACTGGCCTTAAGTCATACGAGAACAGAATCAATTAAATATGAGATATGCTGAATCTACACTAAATAACTTGCAACTAATTAGTATCATCTTGTTTTAATTATAGTTTGTGCCCAGGCTTGTAGTAATCGCAGGTCTTTGATATTTCTAATGCGTGGATCCTATTTTAAACTAACAGATTCCCAAGGGCTAATTTGACACTTATCATTGGCCGGTTTTAAAATACTATTTCGAACTCTATTGGCCTACCAACATGAATCATCACAAAGGGTTACAACCAAGTAATATGAACGTTCATAGCTTTTACAGTTCATACAAATTTCAGCTCAAAACTAAACAGTCCAATCATGTCATTAACCGCAGAAAGCAGACATTAGATTCTAGCATGTGAATCGCTATAATCAGAATAAAACTCATTGCATAGTCCATATGTACAGTCCAGTTATACAGTCCAGTTATACAGTCCAAGGTTTACAATGTAAACACAAATTTAAAGCAGGCTTAACAAATGTACATCCATGAGTATCTATCCTAGCAAGATAACTTGAACACACATCTCAAGAGGTAAGCAAATGGGCCTTCATTTCAATATTCCAACTCAATGATACATCAAGTTAATCTCAAGAATATGTACCTGGAAATAAAATAGAAATGGAGGAGGAGAGGTCAGCTTAAGGCAGTAATGAACAACAGCCCAAATCCAAAGCAACTAGACCATTTTCAGATCCACAAATACCACAGCAAACCCAGGAATGACTAGCAGCAGATTAAACACCAAAAGCAGATGAAAACCAGATATGATTGGATCAACATACACTCAAAATCAACCCAGAAGTCCCTGAATTTGAACCAAACACGGTCTAGAAGATGCCCAAACTATTTTTAAACCTTCTGTTGCACTGAAATCTGATCTACAAATGAAATTCAAACTTGATCTAAGAGTCCCAATAGAACAGTACCTTTTTTTGGATTTTCTACTGTTTTTCTTTGTGGTTTTTGAATTGTATTTGTTTTTGAGTTTCAGACTTCAAATCTGTCAATACTGGGGGGGGTGAATTTTAGGCCTCTCCAACTTGTGAATCAAGGCAAATGAATGCCTATTTATAGGTGAACTTAGGTCCAATTCAGATTTTTCCCTTTACCCCTTAGTCCCTATTCTAATTTCAGTGTTTAACCTTTATTTTCTGACTTGTTACACAAGCAACTAACTTAAGTTTATTAGAGCTTACACTATGGTCCCCCCTAGAAGGTTCTATGCCTATTACAATCCCTACTCTACCCTTACCCCTTTTCAAAAACTACCAAACCTGCTGAAAGTACCCTTTTCCCATGTCCAAACTACCCTTTAAGCCTTCTGAAATTGCTAGACTACCCAAGCCCCTTTTAATTTAACTTAATATTGACTATGTTAATTTCATCTAACCTAAATCAGCTATAACCATTCAATTATCCTAAATATTGAATTAAGAAACAATTATCAATTTAAATTGGAACTAACATCACCACTGCCATTAACCAGACAGTGTTTGAACAGATTTGGAACAATAGCTAAACCAAGATTGAAATAAAACACAACCAAATCAAACTACTGCTAATACAATGCTATTAGAATCACTAGAGCACAAGAATAAGGATCAGAAGAAAGAAAACATACCTAATCGGATTAAGGGCTCGGACAACTTTGTTGCTTGAATCCTTGAGGATTCTTGACACGTAACATCCCCAATCATGTATTTTCATAAGAATCCACATGATTGAGGAAGTTACGGTCAGAAATCTCAAAGGTTTTATCTAGGGTTTTGCCAGTTTTTTTGTTAAGATCTAAAATTGGGGGAATTCCAGTAAGATTTGAACGATTTTGGTTGGGGGTTAACGATGAGGAAGCCATGGGGACTATGGGGTGTGAATTTGGGCCGGTTTGAATAACATTGTGTTTTGGCCGGAACTTTTGATTCAATATTCGAGAACTTTGGCTAGGAATTGGAAGATGATATTATGGGGGTTGGAAAGAGGAGAGGAAGATGAATCTGTGGTGTATTTTTGGTGGTCATTGGAGCTTCGCCGGCGGCGGCGGCGATTTCCGGCCGGCGGCGGACGGCGGCGGGACGGTGGTGGGACGGTGGGGTATGGTGGCTTATGGCGGAGACGGTGACCGGCGTTACAGGGGTGGATTGGTACGAGGAAGAAGAGATATTGTTTTGATTTTTTGTATAAAATTTCGGACAGTTATATTTGATCTTGGGGACTAATCATGGCCGTCGGATATGGGGAGATGAACGGTTGTGATTAAACGACGTCAAAACGACGTCGTTTTGTTATGGGAG